AATAAATAAAATCTTTAAAAAAAAAAATCTATCAAGGGTGCCTGGGTGGCTCAGCGGGTTAAAGCCTCTGCTTCAGCTCAGATCATGATGTCAGGGTCCTGGGATTGAGCCCCGCATTGGGCTCTCTGCTCAGCGGGGAACCTGCTTCCCCTGCCCCCTCTCTCTGCCTGTTTCTCTGCCTACTTGCGATCTCTGCCTGTCAAATAAATAAATAAAATCTTAAAAAAAAAATCCATCAGCCAGGAGGCTGCCCAAGGTATATCTGTGTCTGTGTACCAGACTCAGTTCATCTGCCTCCAAAGATTCACTTGCCCCATCTGTACCCCTACCCTGGGCCTTGGCCACCAGTTTTTTGCACAGCCCAGCTGCCATTACCATCATCTTATTTACTAACACATCTGGTTGTCTTAGCCTCCTCGGGAGGAGGGTTAGGTTTCGACAGAGCTTCCATTGTGCCCACCGTGATGGGACTGCAGTGGGCCTAATTTGGCCAAACCAGGGGCTATGACTCCCCTCATCATTTCTAGTCTCAGATGCACTGCTGTGCTTTAGGGTGTGGGATCTGGCACCCCCTGTGGCTACCGGCGAGGTGGGGGTAATACAACCTCCTTTTCCCCTTATAAGTGATGGTTCTTTTTTTTTTTTTTTTAAAGATTTTATTTATTTAAGTGATGGTTCTATAAGGCCTCAATGACTAGCTGTGTTTTCTATGAAACTTTGGTCAACTTTATTATATACAACCTTATATTTTCTTCCTTTTCGTCTCTGCCTCACTTCCCTTTACCTTTTCAACTCTTGCTGCCCTGGGATTATATTTCCTAAAGAAGTTTTACCACATAAGCTTTACCTCAAGCTCTGTTTTCTACAAAATCAGAAAACAGAGGGAATCACATCAGAGCCAAAGGCTCGAGGGAACCTCGAGCAGTGTTAGGGTTAGGCAGCAGTGTAAGATACCAAATATATATCGATCTCTTAAACTGTTTATTATTTGAATACATTTGGCCTTGTCTTTGTCCAAAAAGAGCTTATATATAATACAGTCTGGTGAGGTCCTGGAAGCTGTAGGGGTGAGCTCTAGAGCACCAAGGAGGAAAGAGCACATTTTGGGGAAGTTACGAGCACCATGGAAGACTCCATGGAGGATATTGGTGCTAGGCCTTAATGGAAGCCTCCAATCCATGCAGTGTAGATTGACTTCATTCTTACAGCCAAAAAAGTTGGTTGTGCCCTATTCCCAGGCCAGACTCAGGACATATGAAAGCCAGGGACAGGAGAGACCATCTCAGAGCCTCTCATTTGTCTAATTTAATTTATTTATTTACTTATTTGTTTATTGTCTGTTCTGCCTCTACCTTCCCCTTCCCAATATAAAGGCTCCTCAAGGACCAGGTTTTGGGTGCCTTATTCACCAATGCATCCTTACATCAAAAACAGTTGCCAACACCTAGCCGAGGCACTATAAATATATGTTGACTGACTAATCAACTGGGATTAATGTCTAGATGACATTAACGGGAGGAGGAAGGCCCAATTCCAGCCCCAAGAATCAGAGAGGAAGATGTGCTTTACTGACCTTGGGTTAAGTGACACTGTCCCTACTGATGTTTATTTCCTCATTTGTCCACAACCATTTACCAAATTCCTGCTTTATATTCGGAACTGTGCTGGGTATTACTCATACACCATGAAGAATACAGAAATAATGCTTACCTTAAATGAATTTACAGGCCTGGGGGAGAGACAAGGAAATAGACAATTATAAAACAATGCAATAAATTCTGTAGGTGCAGAGTAGAATCCCCTAGCCCATTACATGGGATTAAGGAAGACATTCCCTAATATAGGTATTACCAGGCATTCCCAGCTCAGGCAGGAACCATTATGTTAACGTCAGATCTCACAGAAATGGTAGACCCAGAAATGACATCATTTTCTTATGTGAAAACACACAAATGGAAGACAGAGGGCTTGGTGATCAAAGCTGGGCCCAGAAGATGGTTCCTGGCTGACTGGGAAGCTGTCAAAACCATCACTGGTTTGGCCAGGGTGGGGGCTTCCCGCCTCAGAACCTGTTACCCATGACTTCCCAACGTGCCATAAACCAGTTGAAGAAACACATTTCTGTCTTTAGCCAGACTTCTCTCCAGATGACAGAATAGACTGCCTGTGGTAGCTCCCTATAGTTGAGGCCAGAATCCTTTCAACTCTGACGTTCCCTCCGGAGCTGACCCAAACAAATCAGTTCCCTCTTATGCAGGAAGCAGAAATCTAAGAATTTTCTTCTTAGCCTAAAATCTGCCTCCCCTCAGCTCTCTCCAGGCCCATCTCTGAGAGTGGATGGTAATAATGACTTGTTGAATGAACAGATCATGAGGAGTTATCTAAATATAACACGTCATCTTATGAGCCTATACTCACCTCATGAGTATATTGGGAGGTGGGAAAACGGAAGTGGGGGACCTGGGTCGCTTTAGGCCTTAGAAAGTTTTCGTTATTTAAAATATTTCTTTCCCAGCTCGGAAGGGGAGCTCCCCCTTCACTTTCTTCTGAGTACGTGCCACCCCAAAACTACAAGTCCCATAAGGCCAGCCGCGGGGAGTCACCATCTTGATACACCTTAGCGCGCATGTCGGCGGTAGGGCGAGCATTTGGGGAGAAGAAGCCCCGCCCCTCTAAAGCCCATTGGTCGAAGGAGCAAGCGGCGGGCTCAGCGGTTGGCCACCGCGCCCGCCCGTCAGTCGCGTCGGTCGGGGTCAGAGTGCGCGGAGGTGAGTCGGTGTGTTGTGGACTCGTGGTGCTGGCTGCCGCTGTTGAGGCGGCCGGGAACGGGCGGTGGGGAGCGGGCGGAGCTGGCCTTGCCTCTGCCTGGCCGGCGCCGCAGTCGGCGCGGGCCGCGCCCGCCGCCGTAAACTGCCCTGAGCGCCTGCTGAGGCCGAGGGAGACGTCGGGGCCTGCACCTGGAGGGAGCCTGCCGCGCTGGCCCCGAGGAGGGGGCGTTGCCATGGCGACAGCCTCTCCCGCCGCTGACGGGGGGCGGGGGCGGCCCTGGGAAGGAGGGCTGGTCTCCTGGCCCCCTGCCCCTCCCCTTACTCTCCCCTGGACTTGGATGGGCCCAAGTTGGGGGCAACACCCTGGGGTGGGTGATGCGGAGAGCCCCCCCCCCCCCCCAGATTGGGCCCTCTTTAATGCATGCGGGGTGAGGGTCGTGGCGCGCAGTTTGTGCAGTCTGAGGTGCTAGCCCATGTGCTCACCCTGGGTGCATGATCTACTGAGTAACGTTCTGGCCGAGAGGGAGCGGGGCAGGGCTTTGCCAGACCGACTGGGTGGGGTGATTAAGGGTACTGACTTTTTACTTGGGATTACTAGGGAAGAGGAAGAGAGGTTTGACCACAGTAGGTACAAAAATCAGCAAAGAGGTAGTAGATAGAATAACCCCATTCCTCCCTCTCCACATACACAAGGTTAGCGCTTTACCTCTTTGTAAATCTGTAGCAGTGGTAGTAGCAGTGATGGTGGAACGAGTGAGTAACGGGCCTAACCTAGCTAGCTTTCTTTTTGCTTTTCCTGCAAGTGTTCCAGCAACAGGTGGTTCTCTTAAAACAAAAAAGTATGAACTTGAATTGAGGCTTGACTGTGAATTCTTGCATAATGTAACTTTTCCTGGTTGACTTGGAAGATGGTGCGTGTGGCTCCTTCCTGGGGGTTTGGATTCTGCCCTTAGGGCTGGATTTTGCAAACGGATAATGCCCATCATTGTCTCTGCTCTAGGTCTCTGGCCACCTCTATGGGATTAGCTTTTTTCAGACATTTTATCAATCTTGGAGCTGAAGGGCAAAAAACCATGAATCCCATTGGCTAAAGACTGTACACTATTTGAACTATAGTAGGTTGTGATTGGCTGAATGATTTTTGATTGTAGAGTTTCTACCAGAAATTGGCTTCATCAAATTCTGCTTTATTCTGACTTTATCATACATGGCATGCCTTGTTTTAGTGGGTTCGTTCCTGGAGCTTAAGTATATTATACCTGAATCCCCTAGCATTTAAAAGCCAATTTATAAACAGGGACTTGGAGTGTGACTCCACTAATGTGTATGTCTGTGATCTTGGTTAGAAACCCACTTGGCTGCCTTTCCTCAGAGAGGTGGGATGTGGGGGAAGGGAGCTGCCGGGAAGTGATTGATAAGGTTTCCTTTATGGATTCTGTGGTGCTTCACTGGAGCTCAGAGCACTTTGGCAACTTAAGCACTCCAAATTAAAAGCTCATTAACAATTCCTGCCCAAAGATCCTGTAAATAATCGGCTAGCTAGGTCCTAGAGCTTGGCTGAGAGCTCTCCTTCCAACTTGAAATTTCCAAAGTGCCTTTATTCCCTTTCATTTTAAAAGTGTTTTCTTTGTGGTGGGGTAAGTCTGTAACTGGTCTTTCCCAGGGGATCTGAGTAGCATAAAGTCTTAAATGAGTAGAGTGGCAGACAGGAATAGATTGGTTCCAAACAAGTGTTTTCTCTGCGCCAGGGGCATTGCTAGCTTACAGGAGCACCTCTGCAACTTCTACTTTTTTGGAAAATCTGAATTAGGTGATAAATATGATAGGCATCCATTAATGTTTTGACTTAGGGTTTGGTTACACTTTGACTTTCTTAGGACTGAGGTAGACCTGGAAGTATACTGTAAGCGTGTAATGGTTTGTTTGGCCATTTTCAATGTGGCTTCTGGGTTTGTGGCAGCCAGTCTCTCCCCCAGTCCTGGTCTCAGTTCCTGAGTTCTGAATATTGTCAGCCTTACCAGTGTCTCCTCCTTTTTTTTTTTTTTTTTTTTAAAGATTTTATTTATTCATTTGACAGAGAGATCCCAAGTAGGCAGAGAGAGGGGGGGAAGCAGGCTCCCTGCTGAGCAGAGAGCCTGATGTGGGGCTTGATCCCAGGACCCTGAGATCATGACCTGAGCCGAAGGCAGAGGCTTAACCCACTGAGCCACCCAGGCGCCCCACCAGTGTCTCCTCCACTAGACTAGGATTCTGGTGTGATCCCGAGAGACACCATTTCACGGCCAAGCTCAGCTATTATAAATGTTTAGTGTTTCTAGGAGATAACCTCCTTAGGAAGAAAAGTGTGCTATTAGAGAACATGAAATTCATCGTTCCAAAAATATATAGTGCTAGTAGCTTCTGAAAGCTCTGTTCGGGTCTTGTTCTTCCTCATAGGTAACTGTTACCCCAAAGTAGTTTGAGTTTAGGAGTTTGAGGTTTCGGGTGGTCCTAAAATTGTTTCAGATAGCAGCCGTCCCCTGGGGATTTGATCCTTTATACTGAAATAGACTTGTTGCAGAGATGTGTATTTATCCACAGCATTGGGGGTTTCCAGCTCTCACAGAACCTTCAGCATCCCCAGCTGGCAGTCTTGGCATCTTCGAAGTAAGGAGAGGTGAGAATCTTGTTGCATGGTCAAGTTTGGCTTGACTTCTTTCTTATGAGTATTTGGGTTTAGAGGGTGAGGGGGTGGTGGTTGGTGCAGACTGTGTTTTTCTGTAGTTTTATCTGATTAGACACTATGTGCTCAAAGACCAGTGAAATGTACCCAACGCCTATAAAGTGGCAAGGATTAGAGGTGGGGTAGCCATACTCTCAAGTTCTGTTAGGATTTCTCTGTGGGCATTGCATGAGCACCCTACAATAGGTTCAGAAATAGTCCTTCATCCTGAGAAATACACAACTTAAGATAACAGGAAGAACACATTGATTTGGCTTCTGATAATGCATTTGACCAAGGCCTTTGGGATCTTGGTTTGATTTGGTTTGGGAGTCACAGTTGGGTGGATGGTGAATCCCAGCCTGTCTCCGTTTTGCAAGGATCAGGGCTGGCTGAAAAGGCAGACTCTGACTAATTTCCCGGATCTCAGAGGCTGTTTAGTAACAAAGGGCCAGACACTTTGCTAGGACCAGAATTGTAGTGGTGAACAAGACAGCTTCTGTCTCTGATACCACAGGGCTTACAAATTCAGGGGAGAGATGGGTAGTAAAGAAGCAGTTCTGATACACTCTGGGAGTGCTATAATAAAGTAAATTTAGGTGCTTTGGGAGTACTCAAAAGGGTCCACAACCCAGACTTGTAGGCTCCTCATCTAGAATTAAATGAAGACATTAGGGACCAAGTGTAAAGGTCAGAGTTTTGTTGAGTTTGAGAAACTGAAGTTCAGTGTGATGAAACAGCATATTCAGTGGACAGGGGTTTAGAGAATATGGTGAGAAATGAAGCAGGAGAAGTAAGTAGAGGCCAAGGCCTTATCGGCTCTTAGGATTAGGTTAGACTAGATCTTTTTCTATAAAGGACCAAATAGTAACTATTTAGGCTTTGTGGTCTCTGTCACAGCTATTCAACTCCATTCAACTCTGCTGTTATAGCACGAAAGCAGCCATAGTATGAAAATGAATGAGCGTGGCTATGTTCTAGTAAAATTTTATAAAAACCAGTGGCAGCTGGATTTGGCCCATGAAACATAGTTTGCCAATGCCTGGATCAGACGATCATAAGAGCAGTAAGAAGCCATTAAAAAGCTTTAAGCTGTGGACTGATAATTAGATTTGTGTTTTAGAACCTTAAGAATGAACTGAGGGGACAATACTGGAGACAGAAACCAGTTAAAGGAGCCGGTGACCATTGCATGGTAGCATTTTATATTTAACCCTTTGAGGCAGTATTTTGACACTTAAAAATTGAACACAACTGAATTTTTACATAATGTGTATGCTGGTTATCTTTATTAGTTTCCCGGCTATCGACTAGAACTTAAAGCGTGTCTACCAAAGAATTTGTTGGTAATACCAGCTCCTTTTACAGACTAGAAAAGATGTAGGAAGGGAAAGTGTGGAATGAATGAAAAGATTTGGGGAACTCTTTTCTAATCAAAGAAGTAGGGAATAAATGGAGCACTGGTAGGAATGTTGGTCTTCGGGCTTATAGCTTAGTGTCAATTGCTTTAAATGTTTTGAACTATACAAACAGAGGAGGACACATTTTCATAAGTTTTCCAGGGAATTGTCCTCATTCTGTTACATGCCCTACTCAGTCTTAACTTTCCTTGTTTGTAGCGACCTGATGACCTTTTTTCTGTTTTGGGTATTGTCTTCTGGTTCAGGTATGCTGGTATATGCCAGGCACAGGAGCCAAAGTGTTTGTTGAGTGTCTGATGAATTGTCTTCCTCCTCCTGCAAGCCTACTTGCCTTGTTGAAGGGAGCCTATAGGTTTCTGATAACCCACATTAAGGTGTTTGTGTAACCTTGGGCAAGTGACTTACCTCTCTGAGCTTTACTTTCCCATCTGTAAAATGCAGATAATGGGACTTAAGACGGTCGATTAATGGATTTAATGAGATAATGTATGTAAAGCTCTTAGCACAGTGTTTTAATAACTTTAGTTACTAATATTATTTTACACAATAATTTTTTTTTTTTTAAAGAAGCCCACAATTGGGTGAGTTGGCCTTTGCCTTCGTATGTTTTGGGTCCTCACAGTTGTCATTATGGCTGTATGATTGAAACATAACCACTGGTGGTGAGAGCCAGTAGACAGAAGGGAGTTATAACTAACAGAAAGGGCCACTCTTCATAATGGAAAATTTTCAGCCATCAGGAGTCCAGAAAATCAGAACTTTCTTCAGGGTGGACCTTAGCCCCAGTACCATCAGTGAAGTGAATTGAGTGAGCAGCTGCCCGAAAGAAATTCACCAAAGTGTGACCTGTCATTTCTCCCAGTTGGTCAGGGTCATTTATTAGTGTTGCCACCCTTGTGGCCCTACATCTTTGTAAAGTGCCTCTTGAATTTTTTTTTTTTTTTATTACTTTTCACCATCACTCTGGGAATGAGTTAGGTAGTCAGTATTATTGTCCCTGCTTACCCCTGTGAGGAAACTGAGGCCCACAAAGGTTAAGTATGTTGCTCGAGGACACGCTGTGAGGTACCATCGGAGCTAGTGCAGATTTGCCCCCAGAAGAAATTGTGTTTATTGCTGTGATTTCTCTTCCTTTGAGTGAGAGACGTGTCGTCATTGCGGAACTGCAGACTGATGCATGCTTTGTCCAGATGTGCTAGGAGTGATTTGGGTCCCACTTTATCCACTTGGTCCTGTTGGGTTTTAATTGACGATTGCTTGGACCAGGGAAGCAGATTCCCTTTGGGTCATTGTTTTTAGCCCCTCCTCCTTTGGGGACATTCTTGGGGGAGCCTTGGGTTACAAGAGATTGCTTTGATATGTTCAAAATTGTGCCTTGTGCCCCACAGCTACAGGTAAAATCAAAAGGCGGATAATTTATGGGAGTGTCAGAGCTGGCCGCTGGCACCTCAGGAGGCCATTAGTATGCCTGTTCAGACCCTCTGTGTCCTTGCAATTGATTCCTCTTTGCATGAGCTTGATTTGGGAAGCTGTAGATCTGGGGGTAGTGATTGGATGTGACAGTCCAAACACCGGTCCCTAAATTAATCCTTTTAATAGTATTCTAGCACCAAGGCAATGTGGTGTCTTTCTGTCTTTAACTGGGGAGGACAGAATGGGGTGGGCTAGGAAGAAAGAGGGAAAAAAAGAAGCTTTGCTTGGTGCTTAGGGTCTGCTCTGTTCTAACACATTCTGATTCCAGAGCAGTTGACATTGGGACTTCGGGCATATTCATTCAGCAAACACTGATTCACACTAACTTTGTGCCTGGCCCTGTGCTGGGTGCTGGGAATACAGAACTGATTAAAATGTGGTCCTTGCCCTTAAAGATCTATGGGAATCTCAGTGTTTTTCAGAGTTTTTAAACTCATGCATGTGAAAAAATTAATCTGATGCGTTTCTTTAACGCTACTTGAAATTTTAAAATACATCAAAGGGTCTTTAAAAGAACAAGCCAAAGAAATTATGCTTTTTTTACACACACATGCACACCAAACGCTCTGAAAATTATAGTAGGAGAACTAGATTAAAATTTTAGAATATAGTGAAACAAAAAGTTATGTACAATATAGTGAGACAAAAAGTTATGAAATAGGAATAGAGTGTGTTACTGGATCACACTTAAGTAATTAACTTTCTGATGGAGTATTGGAGAAAGCTACTAAAAGGGAGTTTGGAGTTGCATTTTGAAGAAGGAGCCTGGTGAAAATGGAAGTAACATTCCAAAGCAGGGGGAGTAGCATTTGCCAAGACATAGATTTGTAAAAGGAAACATCACATTTGGGGAAGCATCACATTTGGGGACCTGAGCAAGAGCTAGTCGTCACCCTGGCTCCTGCCAGTTTCTCTGCTCTTCTGGAATTGTGTTTGAGAAGAGGCTTTGAGTTTCTTGTGCTCCATTTGTTTTAGTCCAATGCAACCCTTCCTTTTCCTGCTTTTTTATACCCAGGGCTGCAATTTGTTTTTCTTGTTAAAACGTGGTAAATGTATTATGAGAACAGATTTGGGTGATTTGGACAGACCCGATCATTGCTTATGGCTGAGTTATTTTTAGTTAAAGTCACACCTTACCTCAAAGGAAAAACTGAAGTTGATACGTGTTTTTAGCCCTTTCGTGGATAGGGGACTCAATCAAGTGGGGAATGTGGGCCCTCAAACATGGGAGAGAACAGGGCCCCGAAGAGCTGAAGACCTCTGAGGCTTAGTTTTCTCGTGTGTAAAATGGAAATACTGTTCCCCCATTTTTCTTGAGAGTTAGGAGGATGAAATACGTAGATCACTAATACAGTGCCTGGCTTCTGGCTTGTAATTGTGTTTCCCTCTCCTCTTTCTCATGCATTACTGACAGTAGTTCCCTTCCATTGAGTGCTTAAACTGTACAAAGTGCTTTATATACGTTGTGTGGTTGCACTGAACCCCAAAGAGATAGGTATTGTTATTATAGCTGTTATTATTAAAAATATGTGGTAGAGGGGCTGGCTCAGTCGGTAGAGCATGCAACTCTTGATCTTGGGGTCATGAGTTCAAGTCCCACGTTGGTGTGGAGCCTACTTAAAAAAAAAAAAGAATATGTGGCAGAGTCAGGATTTGAACCTAGATTTGTCTGCTTCCAGTATTTAAACATCTGGGCTGTGTAACTCCTTGTTTCTATACCAGTTCCATCTTGGAAGCAGGGGAATGGCAGGTTCTCTGGGGTCAGGTGCTGTCTACAAGTGTGAGAGGTGCTTAAAGGGATAAGAGTACCATACTCTGCCCTTTGGTCATTTCTGTCCTACTTAACGGTATGTTAGAAACCTTTGTCCCCTCTCACATGCAATGGACATCACAGCTGACTTGTAGGACATTGCAAAGAGATGTCTCCCAGCTTTGGCCCCTCGAAGGAGTTTGCCCAACTACTGGTATAGTGATTAGTTAGCAAACAGCAGGCAAATCACAGTCACTTATTTTTAGGTGCTGCCTTGAGCTGCTGAGACGGCTAATTGAAAAGGAGAGTAA